ATATTAATTATTTCCATGGTTTAGTATTTTATTATTTCAGGGTGACCTTATGACATTTTCCATGAAATGTAATCCAGTCTTTGAGGTGTTGAAGCCTTTTAGAGGAGTTGGTTTGCCGTCAGACTCAGAGACAAACGGCAGCAGCTCTGACGATGTCCAACTCTAAACACAGCACAGGAGGAAGCCTCCTTGCCTTCACACTTGTCCCACAAATCTTGCCTTTACATACAGTATGTAGCGAAAAAATAAACACATTTTGCCTCCCCTGGCCTGTCTGTCTTCCCTCTTTCTGCTCTGTCTCTCCTCTGCCTTAGTCATATGAGGGTGTATAAACACGAGCCTCTGTGGTTCAGCGAGCACAGAGACAGGATATGAGAGTGATTCCCCTCACCTCTCCCTTTTGAACATGCGTCAGACAGTGAAAGGAGGCTCTTTTCCAAAAAAGGGCCACGTGGGGGTCAGATCTGCTCTGCTGCGTGTCTGTTAATACAGTTTCAACCTCAGCATCCCAGCAGAGGAAGCAGAAACCCCCTCACTGCTCAGTATGGACCCTTCACAACTCAATCATATCTCAATGTACACACTTCAACAACTGAGATGTAACAAGGGAAATCAAACACACTGAAGGAGGTGGAGGTTCAACTAGGACCCTGGAGTGGCAAAAGGGCCCAGACAGGATTATAAGAATTAGATTGAGAACATAAGGGGACGGGGGTCAGGTGAGTGCTGTGTCTAGAGAAATTATTAGGCAAATATTTTGATAATAGGTACAGTCATTTTTAAGCAGAAATGCCAAGTATTTTATTGCTTCCAGCTTTTTGAAATGTGAATATTAGCAAATATTCAGAGCTTTTCTTCATACATAAAATGAATATCTGTAGGTTTTGCATTGTCACTCCGACAGAAGATCTCCTTGGGTTTTATTGGATGTTGTTTGCCCTTTAAATCTTGTTTCTAATGTTTTAAAGTCCAAATGATAAGAAACTAAGCAAATAGTTGCAACAGTAGTCCAATGACAGGATAACAATCAGCATTATGTAACTTGTTTAGACATAAATGGTTCCAGCTAATCAGTACTCTATGTGTGCTGTTTGTTGTATCTTCCATGAATTCAAACACAATATCTTTGGGTTTTGGACACTTGGTTTCGCACTATAAGCAGTTGAGTAAGGCACTTACCGTAATTTTCGGACTATAAGCCGCGCCTTTTTCCCATTTTTCGACGCTGCGGTTTATATAACGGTTCGGCTAATCTATGGATTTTTACAGCTAACGGCCACCACCTTTAACTCTATGGGCTCTATGGCCGGTCCGCGGACCCACACCTTTAAGCAGCGGGTTCCAGCGGGAAAAGCTGGAGGCCGGAAAATAGTGAGACAGGTAGCGCGCAAAAGTAAAAGTGGAACCGAGAGTGGTACGAGAGACAGAACGAGAGCAAGACAGACAGACATTACGAGAGCGAGACAGTTTGTCCCCGTACCACTGGTTGAAAACCACTGCTGTAGATCACTGCCGGTACGTGCGCTGGGAGCGCACCGTTTAAGTTTGAAAGTTGAAAAGTTTGTGTGTCTGAAACGCTATGTGATACAGTACAGTTTACACAGCACAGTACATGTTCTGTAGCTACTATTGCACTAAATGGTAACACTTGAATACGTTATGCAAATATGCAACTTGTTTGTTGAAATGTTAATAAATGGGAGCTTCCTCAAACAGCCATCTCTTTCCCGACAATCCCCTCTGTGCACGAACCCTTACATATGGTAATTAAACATAAAACACCTGCGGCTTATAGTCCAGTGCGGCTTATATATGTACACATCATTCAATTTAGCTGCTGCGGCTTATATTCAGGTGCGCCTTATAGTCCGAAAATTACGGTAGTCCTTAGTTACTCCAGGGAGAATGTCCCTGTAATTGGTAATTGTAAGTCGTTTGGATAAAAACGTCAGCTCAATGAAATGTAAAGTGTACACAGTATTTCCATTTGGGATTATAACAGTTTTAGTGGACCAAACAATGAAAAAATCCATCAAGAAAACAATCTACCGATTAGACCTTACGACAGCAGTTTCAATTGAACTCTCTGCCCTTTGCTGCATGTTGTGCACTCTTTCTTTTTTCCGAGAATTCCTGTTTAACTATTCTATCCAATAACAAGGTAGAAAGCCAGCAAAATAAATTCCAAGAATCGGGGAGGGAGCTCTGAAACTGATCTTGAAGCTTGTAGTGGCCCAACACTTAGGTAAAACATTGTTTGGGTTATTTGGTCACCGACTGATCTGTAGATGGAAGGCAACTCAAGGGAAACTGATTGCTCAACACCTTCAAACCAGCTCTAAAACTAAATATAACAGCAAGAAGTTGGAGCAATGTAATTTGGCCTGTAGGTAATCATTTCAATCTAATTTTGGCAAGTCTTGCATTACAACCAAAGCCTCTGATGGAGGAAGCAGCGATTGAATCAACCAGCGAATTGAAGAGGAGGAGAATAAAGAGGAAGCAGAGATGTGTAAGGAGGAGCCTGGATGGAGAGGTGTTTCATAAGCACCCATCGCCAAATCTTGAACCTCGGGTTGCCAGGTCCCAGCTGTTAGGGTGGAGAAACTTTAAGGCTGATTCACAGGAAAAGTGTACATAACACCGGTAGATGGAAACCGGGAACACATTTTTCATTGGTAAGTCTCATTTAGCCAGGCCAATTACCTTCCTTGTCTGTGTGCTTACCCACTTAAATGTGTGAAAATGGATTCAGATAAAGTGGCTATCATACTGAGTGGGTGAAAGAGTACAAGTCTGAGAGATATATGTAGTGTGGCAGTAAGCTGGAGCCAATCAGACGATGTTCCGGGCTCTTAAGTCGACTGTGTCAGACACTGTCAGCTTCACTTACACCTATCCCTGCACAGCCCCCATAGCACCACATTACTAAATGACTATCTAATAACCCATCCCAGACTCATTACTCAAACTCAAATTGGAGCAGTTTAGATCCAATCCAAGATCCCTTCACAGCGCTTTAGATCAGAAATATACAGGGCTGGCCATTAAAAAAAAAAGTCATCATTTTCAGTGCAGTGACTGCTGCTCATAAATGTCATAAAGCTGGATTGGTGTGATGGGGGAGCAGAAGCAGGGAAGAAGGCGAAGGGGGGAGTACAGGAGGGGGGGGAGTACAGGAGAGAGGGGATTGGAGTGAAATGAGAGAAAGTAAGAGACACAAATCTAAAGCAGTGATAATGTTAGCATGCCACCTAGTGGTGAAAGGTATTTATTTTCCTGAAAGAGCTTGGAATACATGATTTTGTGAAGTTGCCAGGCATCACAAGATGATAACATGCAGAAAGAGTCAAAGTATGATTGTATTTCCATAAAATGAATACAAATGAATAAAGACCCAGGCAGCATGAACAGCAGAAGTAGACTCTTACTTCGGAACAAAGTCTTGGGAGCTTCATGATAAGACTGTGTTTTCCCACTGAATGAAGTCAGCCGTCTTACTTGAATAAAGTGTTTTTTCAGCAACCAATATTTCCACCACAATCTGAATCTCACGATTTCATGCTCTATTCAGCTGGAACCCAACAGTTGCAGACACAGCAGACAATTTGACAGTTTATTCTGAAGGAGAGCGCAGACCACAGTGGAGATCAATGTGGCCTAAAGACAAAATAATTACTTTCAGTCAATAATCCAGATATGGGGTTTGCGCTGTGTGAAATCCCCCATAACTCTTTAAAACTTGTTCCAGTAGGGATGATTATCTGAATGTCGGCTGATGTTACAATGTGAAACGGATCGGTCGCACCTTCCATGTCCAGGCCAGCCTCACATCCTGCACTAATGTGATATCATGCCCATCACAAATGCCTTCTGAAGCTTAATGAATATATAGCACAGAGAGGACCCCAATTAGTGGACCAGCGAGAGGGGGGAGGCGCCACGCCAAACCACGTAAACAAACTTACCCTGACAGGGTCGCTTGTACAAAAAGGGGGGAGATAGGCGGATAGCGAAGGAGGCCGAGAGAAAATGAATTACCTTCCTGACACACGTCAAAGCCAATCACCGCGGAGCATCCCTTGCCGTTCCCGCGCCCCAAAATCCCCGCCGCCACCGTTGTGTTTCATCTGCTAGTGTTAGTATGCACACAGGCCGTGCGCCAGCCTCCAAATGTATTCATTTATTCAGAGCCCCTCGGAGAAATCACAGTGTCTTGTTGTCCTTTTTTCCCCCTTCCCCATCTGTCCAGATGGAATTTGCGTGAATAACATCAGTTTAGTGAGGCAGAAAATAAGTACAGGCTAGCACAGCAGAGGGGACTAGATTACACCCACCTCCCCAAAAAATAGGATGGAAAGACAAGTGTCACCTTCATACACTTCTCTCTCCGTCTCTGCCTCCCTTTCTCATTTTCTTCTCCGGGTCTATTCAAACTAATCAGGCGGGTTGAGAGATCCGTGCAGCTTTTTGCAACAATTATTTTGTATGCAGGTTCAATTAAACAGAAGATCATGAATCAAAGAAGCGGCTTTTTCATTATAAAAAGGTGAGCGGCCATCAAGGGAGTGCAGCCCAATGCTCATTTATCTGTGTTTTGTTTTGCATTTATAACGCAACTAATTGCATTAATTAATCAGATGTAGCCCTAATAGGAGGGAGAGCATCTTGCTCAAGTAATTGAATGAGATGAAAAAAAACTGTAAATCAATATTTCCAACCTCAATAAAGCCCAGAGGAAATTAAAACGTCTTCAGTCAGAAGAGTGGAAAGCCTCAATATTCGTTCAGCCTATCAGAAAGTATTCACTACACCGCCTTGAAGGAGAAATTGTCTTGAAAATGAAATTGATTTCAATAGAATCTGTAAGAAGTGCTTCGCACGCGCCTGAATTTTTAACGGAGAAAGGCGAGTGTGTGATCTCATTGGTGGTCACTTTGGTTGTGATTACTATGAATGATGAATATGTGAGAGAGAAAAGCAAACACAGAGAAACCTACCTCTCTGAGGACCGTGCTGCTGTATCCTCTGTACAAGCCTCGGAAACCCTGTGCAAAAATAACAGGACACAACAAAATTACAATAACAGAAATACAGAAAAATGGTTAATGAAATCTCAAATTGTAACTCAACAGCACAAGACACTATAACAAAAGTGATGTACAAGCAGCAGAGTTCAATACACACCCAATGAAATGTTTTAGTTTAAGATTCTGTAAAACAAATGGTATAATAGTTACACCTTTTTATAACTTATTTCTCTCAATATGGCCTTTAATTTCTACCATCTTTGGTGACATTTTAAAATGTCATCATAAACGGCAGAACATATTTGACTCATTAAAGTTACTGGGTTGGGATTTAATTATTGCTTTGCGTCAACCAGAGAAGTTGCCGGATGGTATTAATGATAGGAATGATGACTAATCCACATAAGAAATAAATATCAGAGCAATAATAAACTGGAGTTATGATTTAAAAGTGCCTTTGACTGCTGCATACCTCCTCTCTGAGTGTAGCCAGCAGCATGTTGTAGGTGGAGGAAGATGGAGAGGCCTGGGTCCTCTGTTTGACCACCTCTGTGGGCACCCGGATCAGACACGCCACCTACAGGATGGAAAGAACACAGATAAGCCACGAATAAGGAAGAGCGCCAGGCATTGAAGAAGATTTTGGTACAACTTCTGTGTCGGTCACGTGATGCATTTTCAATCCTGCAAATTGAGCCGATATCCCACATTTGATTGACAGTCGCCATTTTAAAACTTGCCTTTTATCCAATGGCTAATTCAGAAAGCAGGATAGGGCTATCATCACCATTGCCTGTGTCAGATCAATCAACACAAGAAAGGGTGGGGTCAAGGGTTCACTAACCTGTTTTCAACGTAATATGATGGAAGCTATGACAAAGAAAAGGAGTTGCAGCTACTAAGAGGGTGATGAAAGTATTTATTTACGTGTGAAGTCGGGGAAAGCTATTCTCTTAAGAGTTTTTTGTCAAATTTGCTTTCGTTTTATTCCAATCGCATATGTCAGTGATTGAATATAATTTGACTATTTATACACTAATAACTCTCATCACCTAAATTATTAGGTTGCAAGTTATTTTCTGTCCATATTAATGATAATTGAACAGCCAGGACGCAGCGAATGGAAGCAGGCTTTAAGGAAAACACAAGTTTTATGGGCACCATCGATGGGGAAGATCACCTGAAAAAATGTTTACATTCAAAAGTTGAGCCATTTTGTCTTGATGTGCCACTGAGCAGCTTTTATTATAATGAACGGGGCGCTGCCTCTTACGCTGTATCCAGTTAGCTCATGCTCATCTTTTACAGCAAAGCAAGTGAAGACAACATCATCTTTCCTTCATACATCCATGGGTGGTAGCAGATAATGTCCAATGGTTTTGCCAGAATAAATACACTCTTAATTTACACTCGGTATTTCCTTAAAAAGTTTTTTTCGATATCCATATTGTTCTTATTGCAAGTGGGTGTGTCAGGAGCCACACACACGATGTCCCAGGTGTCGCCCAGGAACAGAGTGCTAGCCTGTGTTTCTTTCTACATGGCAGGTGGCCGTGATGTGGCACAGCCTGAGGAGAGCAATTACATCAAGCCGGCGGGCTAACGAGTTCTGTAGTTAGAGTCGAGCCAATTAACAAACTAGTACACACAGAAGACATGACACCTGAGCAACAGGTTAAAAGTTCACCTGTGTATCTGTGTTTGAAAAACATGCATGCGCTGCCATCAAAACTCATCGTTTCAGGCTCACCTCAGTAACCACACTCCCCGCTACAAGTTCCAACCCATGTGTCAACAAAAATATGGACTGCCAACAGCTAGTGAAGACAGACATGAATATTTATGCTTCAAACTCCCATCGCCCTAAAGGCAGGCAGGCAGGCAGGCAGGCAGGCGGGCACAGCTGCCCACCTGGCGACTTGATTTTCCATTTATCCTGCACCGGAGCGGAAACACCGGCTAACGGAGAGCAATCTCACAGAGCGATCGGTGAGACAGCCCCCTCGCTGCGACTCCCCCACGTTATAAAGATGCCAGTCTGCTAGTGCCACCCTCACCACAGCAGCAAAAAGAGTGATGTAGGCATTGCAATAAAGATACAAATGCTACCCAATCCTGTTCTGCTCCATCTCCATTCAGCTATCCATACTGATTTAGCGTTTGGGCGCCTCAGGTAGTTCTGGAGGTGATGGACCCTGGAGGATAAGACTCTATTGCCATACTGTGCGAGGGGGGGGGGGGGGAGAAGGCTACTCCGACAGCTGTTAGAGGGCTCCCGTCTGTCAACCACTCTACACTCACCAAGGACACCTTATGAGCAGGAACGTGAATGTTTGTGGAGCAAAAAAGATGAACTCAGCAGTCCTGGAAGTCAAGTGAAATCACAGACTAGGCTGAAGGAGACCTTGCAGACAGGACATGGAAAAAGATCATGAGTCTCTTAAAATATTATTGACTATCGATTACTATATGCTGCATTACTTTAGTTTGACCTTCGCTGCAACACTTTCATTGTTGGACCTTTCACTTTTCAATACAAAATGAGAACATAAACCCTCATTCTGTGTACATGAGAGCAAAAACAAAAGAGCGATCCTGTTTGGTATTTCAGGTGAGCATAGTCTAGCTGCAGCATACCCATGGTGCAACAGTACCACCAAGTGGCCTGACGTTTATCTGCATTGCCTTGTAGAGATAACTAGCTGGCTGCATCTATTTCAAAGATCTCATTTGCCCTCCCTTTGGTTAAGTAACCATTTATAATACAGTGTACATAATTTCCCCCCCCCCTAACAAATTCTCCAAAGGACCGGAATAAGGCAGCTAAATAGAAAGAAAGTGCCTATGACAAGTAATTACTGATGTAATTGGATCGGGGGGCCTGGAGTTGAGACCGCCTTTCCGCCGCTGTCACTGCAGAAGGGAAGGCAAAATGAGCCAGAGATTATACTAAATAAATTAGGGACATTGTTTATTTGGGAGTCATTTGTGCACCCAGGGGTGGAGAGAATGATGTTGAGTGGATAGAAGATAAACCTCGAAGCCTTTGAGACCCTTTCAGAAGAAAGCAGCAGCAAATAGGGAACAATGCTGATAAATCCAGGCAGGATAAGATAAGGCTGGGGCTTTAAAAGGATAAGAGTCTTATCGGTGTATGTCATCATATTTTTAAAAGCCCACCAAAGTAAAAAATGAAAGATTTAGATATGTGTCCCTCATGTTTAGGAGAGGGCTGTACGTGGAGAAAGCTGTCAGGAAGACAGACGCACGTTTCTTCACCTAATTTGGCTGCCCTTCATTCTCGATGCTTTCCTCTGGAGTGTAGAGTTATTATAAATCCGTTGGCAGTCTTTTAAATTCCTGAAACCATTCATCTTTATTTACAAGCTGTTAGGTTTGTCAGGCAGCGTTAATTAGGAGGCTGCCTGCCTGTGATCGGAGCCTCTCAGTTTCACATGGCTTGTTGTTGTTGTTGTTGTTGTTGTTGTTGTTAATCCAAATGACAGAGCGCGTTTTCAATTTCCAGCCCTGGCCGCCAAACAACAAGGTGAGAAGACGGCGCTCAATCACGGGCGAACCACGGTGAGGAATGGGAAATTAGCAGAGACTCACAGCACATTATGGGCATAGGCGGCGAATCAATGCGCAGATTGAGTCGTTACATCCCGCAGACCCCCACCCCCCTCGCTCCATCCCTCTTTTACCGCTCATGGAGGTCACAGTGGTCAGTCAATCAGGAACAGAATTATCATGTGGCGCCATAAAGACACAACAACAGGTTGGAAAAACATATTGGCAGCAACAACTGTTATGGGCCTCAATTATTTGGATTTATTTGTCATTAAAATATACTGCATTCACAAAACAGACCATTTGCCAAACAGGAAATACTGCAGTCCCACATGTGAACAGAAAAATGGTCCTGGCCTTAGCTTACTTTGAATAAACACAATAAATCCAGCTGAAAGACTCTCACTTTTCTATTGATCAGGAGACAATACGTTGGACTAAAGTTGAATGGTAGAAAAAGTGTGTCTTCCAACTCGGTGGCATACCAATACCAATTCCAATAAAGCTCATACAAAAACTCAATATCTCCATCTTTGCCCCTGAAACACACTACAGTATGTCCCATCACATGAACCATATTCCCATGACTTTTTTCAGGATGTTTGCTCACACGCCCACAACTAGATATGCATGATAATACCAAGGTAGATTGAAATACGGGTTGACAAAGAAAGGAAGGAAGAGATGGAAGAAAAAAAAGGTCATGAAGAAAAGGGGAAGAGATGAGGACGCCGAGTGTCTCCAACTTTGAAACAACAGCCAATAAATCACAGAGTGTGGCGCTGCTCGAAGGCGATGCATGGATTATTTCTCAGTGCCAAGTTAAGTGGCTGCCAGTTTCTACCCCCAAAACTCCTCCCTCCTTCTCACTGTCCCCCCATCTTGTCATGTCACACTGTATTTTCCAGTACATCCTCGCACAGACATGTGCTGGTGAGGTGTTGGTGGAGGTTGTGGTGGTGGCGGTGGTGGGGGGATTTATAGATGCGAGAGAAACCCGCCGCCTGGCCTTGACAAATGAGCTTTCAGGGCAGACGTCGAGCGAATGGGAATGAAGATAAATCTGATCTAATGGCTGGATAACAGCCTGCTAGAGCCTGACAGACGCCATCAGCTTACACATTCTTTATAGGAGCGTCGCACTCACACAAACACCAGGACGCTTGAGCGAGGGGAGATTTCTCTCATTGTTTGACCCTCTCTCGTTCTTTTATGACTTTCCTCCTCTCTGTCCTCACCGTTTCTGTCTGTCCTGCTTCTGTCTGCAAGTTAAACAGGGCGTTAAGTAGGGTCACATTGAAAGGCCATGTGAAGACCATCATCAAACAGCTGGAGTACATTTCTGTACCCTTAAGTAGAGTTGCACAATCAACCCAAAAGATTGCAATATGGATTACATTTGGAATATCCAAATCGTTATAAGCTAAATATTTGGTAAGAGCAAAATATGAAAAGATATCCTTCTGATTGAAGTATTCTGGAGCTGAGATAAGTCCCTAATACCAAGCAGTATTCTACAGACTTTATAAAATAACCATATTAATAATAATCATATTACTATTGAAATGTCAGTCAACACAATCGCATTTCGTTATTTGTTACGAATCAGAAAGCCATCTAAACTACACAATTCAACCACCTTCAAAACCGAATTTAGCTGATGAACGTATTTAGTTAGTGAAGTTTAAATCTATTGTAAAAAATGGAAGTTCTTGATCATCCATTTCCCATATTACTCTGATGAGGCTTTTTCTTACTGTTTATGCTGGATGAATATCTGTTAACCTAAAGGCTCGACAATAAAGAAAAGAGTGCTTGGATGCAAGTGTGTCCAAGAGTTATCTCATACTTCCAACAAGTTATATCTCCCTCTGGTATGATCATAACACACTGAAGTACACATCTACTGTAGTAAGTGTGTGCCAAGTGGAGTGCATCATAGATAGAGGGGGGCTTGGAGGGTTTGGATTATTAAAGGAAAAAGTCCCATAAAACCCCTGTTGTGAATGTTGCTGAGTGGAAACAGTTGGTAAAACATAACTAAATGGACTCCAGGGGGAAAGGATGATGGGCTGATGAAGGGGCGGAATGGGGAAGTGAGGACATAAACCAAAAATCTGCTTTAAGTTTCTGTGTGTCAAAGCCTGCCCCCACCCACGCAACAGAAAGACCAGCAGGTGGAGGGGCACCAGGGAAACACAACGGTGACCCTTGTCTTTTACTGGCATGACGGAACATGTAATGCAGAGTGGAAGATAAAACGAAATGTTGATGAAAATATGCTTGAGTTTGCATTCATGTTGACAATGCAGTTTGTGTTTAACCATTGTCTTTGTGCCTGTGGGCTTTAAATAGACCCATATAAGGGAACTTCCAAATGCAGCTGCCATTTAATTACATTTCACACTGAAATTAAACAAAATAAAACCAGAAAGTAGAGGATAAATAGGCAGCACATGATGCAGAGCATAAAAAGGACTTCAAGGAATCATTTGAAAAGGCTTTTTCCAGCACTTTATTCATGTGCATGTTGTGAGAATCTATTAATCATAAGGTATGGCTTGAATGGTCGTGCAGAGATTATGCAACCTCAACAGAACTCATAATGATAAAGCAAAATAATGGAATATATTATGCAAAACAATGTACGATGGAAAAAAACTAAGGAAAATAAATACTTTTTTCTGTTCATTTTCAATATAGCTTAAAAAAATAGCTGCTACAATTTTTCAGAGGCCAAAGAGACTTTTATAAATTCTCTGTATTATCCAAAGCCAAAAGTTATTCAATTTACAATTACAACTAACAAAGACAAGTGGACAACACTGCTAATTCAATTCATTTCGATAAATAAGTAAATGACTACAGTTGTTTCATCACGAGACGAAACGAATGCATCACACCCACTTGCCCAAGACTCAGCAAACTTATGTAAGACCCTTGGTGAAATAACTTTTAATCAAAAATCTCAGTCATATGGCAGCAATTGCATCATAGTGCGGGCGTTTAGGCCTTTCATACGAGTCGAGGGCAACACCGGGGTAGGCCTTTCATGGCTAAGCCTGAAGATTACTCTCTTTGAACAAGACGTATCCAGTTTTCTTCAGAATGCAGTGGGATACCGCCCCTGCTCTGCTGAGCCCCACTCCGAGGATTGGTGCCTTTGATGTGCTCAAATCCAAAACAGCGGGGAAGGGGTTAAAGGTAGCCGCAACCTCAGCCTCACCTTTCACACTCAAGTTCCACAGACAAAAAGTTCCCAAAATGTTAAAAGATACTGCAAAAGAGTGGTGCAGGAATGAGTCCTAAAACCGGTAATGAGTCAGCATTTTAGTTTAGCACTTCTGGGTTTGCTCGTCTCATAGTACATAGTTTGTTGGTTAGTTGTCATCAAAAAAGGGCGGTGGTGGTTAATACAAGCTTACTAGATTTCTATATTTCGTTCAAACACATTCAAATACGTCAAAAAATACTTGTGATGATCTGAAACTTTTACGCATTTTAAAAACAGAGATTGCTAACAAGTGGCTAAACGGCAAACACGAATCCCCATTTAGCATTGCGTTGGTGCAATCAAGATTTTGTTTGCCTAACTTTATTTATTTACCTGTGCCAATTGCATTTACACCTCAATTATGATAAAAGTGGTGTTAATAGAGACTATCTTGCTGAACTTAGAGGTATTAAAACGTTTGTTTGCCACAAAGCTTTTTCTTTGATGTAATGGAAATATCCCATTGCCTTTTTGAGAGAGCACTTGCAATGCTTACTTCCATTCAGCCTTCAGAAATACGTCAGCCCTGCACCACTCTTTAGAATAACGTGTCCTCTGTGAGACACCAAGACACGGCTAAACTCAAGCTGAGTCAACACAATCCCATATGGAATAATCCATTTCATAAACATGCAAAAACTTGGCTAAATTACATCCATCCAAAAGCCATGAATACTAAAAGACCAGGATTTTGAGGAAAGCCATGGTGGTGTAGCAGGGGGGCATTCCTCTTTCCATTCCTTCCCCATCCCTCTATCCCCCTTCATGCCAATGTGAATACGCGTGGCCCCCATATGGCTCAGATCCTGAGGTTCACTGCGAGTGATTGGGACAGGATGGACTGAGGAAATTGCGCTGCTCCTCGTTTGGTTTCAAGACTGAATTCCCCAGATCAAATTGGCGGAGTCTGGGGGTCTGAGCTGGGAAAGTATGAGTAAATAGGCAGTAATGAGTTCTTATTTACCCAGCAAGTGGGGGAAATGATGGGACGACAGTCTTGAGGAAGCCCCCTTAACTCGCCCAGCTGGACTACGCGGCCTAAAGCCAAAACCGCATACTCACCCTGCTCCCTGCTGCCCCCCCTGTCTAGTGGTCTGTGACATTTTAAAGGCAACTACGTCAACAGACATGCCAATGGTGTTCATAGGGGACTTGTGGTTGTGGGAAAGAAGCAAAGAGGGGAAAAGAGTGCGTGGAAGAACAACAACAATACAAAAAGGCAGCTGGCCTTCTGGAACGACTAAAAGGGGGTCAAACAAACATGATTTCAACTAAATCCAAAGTAGAGGAGGCAAAAGTTGGAAGAATGAAGGACACTTACTACTTCTCCGAGGGAGGCGGCCATCATGTGAGTGACAGGTGCCGCTTGTGGAGCTGCTAGCCCCCCCCCAGCGCCGAGAAGGGACTTTGTGAATTCGTAGGTGACAAAGAAAGCAGCGGCTGAAACCAAGCAGAACCACAGCCATTTAAGGCCCATTAGTCAACCAGCATACAGCAATTAATATCCCTCACTACCACTGACAGGGGAGAAACTGCGGTGTGAGTGTGGGTATGTGTGTGTGTCTGCTTGTACAATTAGGGTAAAAGCTAAGAAAGTTAAGTGTGTGTCATGCGGATAGAGTTCGGTTCTTTTATACTCTCATTAGTCATGTAAATTCACACGGCAAGAGTGTTAATTTATAAACTGCAGCAAATAGATTTTATTATATTCAAACCGACACGATAGGACTTTAACGTCTTATCTTTACCAGTCGTTCTCTGGTATGCACTTCAAAAAGGGCAGTCATACTGATTTTTGCAGCTGTTTGATTGAATAGTATCATTGATTATGACTTCTTTCAATCGAATATTTTTCTTTAAAATAAGAAATGAACTTGGTGCATTTTCAATCACAAACATGTAAAAGTTTGTTTATGCTGTGAAGAAACTTAAATTAGAGTGGGGGATGTGTTGAAGCTTCTAAAATGCAGATGATCTGCTTCCCACCAACGGGATTATCAATATGTTTGACTTCAGAAATCTTGATGAGCAAAGCTTGGATAACAACATTGACTGATACTCTGCGCTTGGAAACAATTTGATATATCCTAAAAGATAGACTGGGGGAAATTGGAAAGGACGTGGGGTCCAATGGTTTCATTCATAAGGGGGACGGTCGGCTGAGATGCATTGCACAAACAATCGTTTTGTAATGGCTTGGGTGGCACTGCTCGGGGAGGGAAGGGTTGGGGGGGGTAGTCTGGGCTCATCTGCACCCTTTAAGTTTATGTATGTACTATTGCTTACACTTTGTATGCTTCTTCTCAATACAAATATTTCAAAAACAAACAAACGTTAACACTTACTGATGGTGCTCACTCCTCTAGATTTGTTCCTGTTACTGGTCCTTGTCTTCTGTCTGTCGGCCCCCCGGCCCTCGGCCCCCAGCTGCTCCTCCTCTGCCTGATCCTTTTGGGCTTTGACATTCAGCCGCGCCACATTCAGCATCTGCAGGGAGCGGCTCATGGTCTTCATCTTCTGCTTCACCGGTGTACGCTGGGCGCCACCTGTAGATCGAAGAAGGGACTTTATGAGAAAAGCATTTTGTGCTGCATTCCCTCAAGTCAACATCTAAATAGCAAATTACTAGAATTCTTCTATTTTCTCACATTTAAAACATTACTTGTGTTAAAATGGATACTTGGTGACTCCTATGACTGAAAAGTATCTCTTATGGTGTGTTCACACCGGACGCGATGCGATGTTTTGGGGAGGCGCGATTACATGTAAAGTCAATGCAGAAACGCAGACAGACGCGAATTCGCTCCGACGGCGAGCATGAAGCGGTTGATGCGAATGCCGCGGCGCGATTGAGGCGATTGAAGGGGGGCCGCGACAACCGCTCGAGTTGAAAAACTTGAGCGTCAAATTCACGTGACTCGATCTCGCGGTAGCCAATCAGCGGTGAGGATATCAGCCTGTCGTCACTGACGTAGAACCACAAAATCAAAACAGCAGCCGTTAGCACTCAGAGATCACAGCTCCTCATATCTGTTCAGAAACTGGACAAAAGTTAAACGAGTACAAACCAGACTGTCTGTGTCATGGAGAATACAGTCGCTGGTTTGTTTATTGTTTATGTCTGAAGGCCGTTGTTGTGAGTTTGGACAGAGCAGATACAATGTTAGCTTGGCCTGATCGATCCGATCTTCATTCAGAAAACAAGCATTTTAAAAAAGGCTTTTTGCCTGCCGTCTGTCTGCAGACTTGTCAAAGCATTGATTCATGGTTTTTACTAACCGGTATCAGTATGTTGTTACTTCGCCATCATTTAGAAACGTGTATTACAATTAAATCACGGTAAAATATGTTCATGTTGTTGTAGTTGTAGCTCCCGAGCCAGAGCGTCTTGTTTAAATGATGTGAGTAAACACAGCTGACAGCCGCGGTGAAACTCGAGCGATTAGAGCGAAGCGAATATTGGCATCGCGTCCGGTGTGAACGCAGCATTATGCTTCTACAAATATCCCAATCTTGATTAAAACGGAGTTGAGGCTTTCTCACGTTTCTTCTTGCCCCTCTTGGCATCTGCCCCTTTGGATGTTTGATACAATTCAGCCAGCCCACCAATCAGCTCCTGCTGTACGACAGACAGCTCCCCCTCTTCTTTTGACTCAGGCACTGCATCCAGCAACCTGCAACAAAGACGCTCAAACATCAGGACTTTCTTTGTAACATGATTGAATGTGTTTCATAGAATTATTCCTTCAAAAACAGCATATACAATTAAAATGAAATCTTACCTTATCGACTCCATTAAATGAGAACTCACTCCTGACTGGTCTGACTGAGGGAACCAACACTCCAACACGCCTGTTGCCAGCGGGCGACGGCTGACTTCCCGCTGAGCCCACTCCGGTACCTGATGATCTATGGGTTGGTCTGAAGAACGGATGAAAACAAAAAAAAGTCATTAATTACTAGCAAATCAACATTACCTAGTAGGGCTGTCCCGAATACCATTTTTCGGGCTCCGGATATTCGGTAGTAATCAGCAGCGAATATTCGGCCCACGCGGGGGGGGTTTCTATTTTGTTATTCTACAGTATTGTTATTTTATAGTAGAGATGTCCCGATCCGATCACGTGATCGGGGATCGGAGCCGATCACGTGATTTTCAAAAGATCGGAATCGGGAGAAGAAAAATCGGCAATCGGCTTAAACTTAACCTTAACTCGAGTATTTTTTGTTGACGACTGTTTTGGAAACCCTGTTTAGTAGTGTAATGTACATATGATCATTCGATGACATAATCTATTACGCCTAGAGTAATTTAACCACAAATAAACCTGACAAACGGGACTTAAAAGATTGAAAGAACAAACTATAACTAAATCCGGAGTCGTTTGGGTGAATTTTTCGCGATGATTTTTTTCAAGAATGAAGAAATACACGGTATTTTCCTAAAGTCGTAGAACACCCAATTTGGATGATCGGTCTAGTAATGGCTATTAAGATGTGGTTTGGAGTTTGTGACGTCCGATTGAAATGGTTTCACCGACAAGTTTTCCTCGAGTGAAAAAGGTGTGCTAAAGTTCGTGGAAACTAGAAAACAGAAGGAGGTTCAGTACTTCACACTCCTAGCTACAACCAGCACGATACTCTTCGACCACGAGGTTCAAAGGAGCGAGTCGACCCCACGTCTCACCCTAGGGACACTAACGAGACGGACTTTGGAGACAAGGTGAGTTTTCCGGTCTTGAGTCCGAAGTCGTCTGTCTGGAAACGTAAGTTCAGGGTTGCAACCTATGGAGGACCAGAAAGACTTGTCCGTGAGGTGGCGGACTCGAAAAGAGACAGTGTCCGACACACAAGACGCACCCTCGTTCCAAATCATCAAAGTACCTTCAATCTGTAGAATCGTACTGAGTCGGTACGGGTTTTATCACCCTCTACAATTTCACGTAGTCAACAACCACCACAACACAACACATAAAGTCCTTAAGTCTAAGGTTTATACAATATGGTAGCAATGATCTATATACGAGGATACCAGAAACCTAAAGTGAAACAAAGAAACGTTTATACATAAAACGGATTCTATTTGGTCTGCGGGGCGACAAATTTTTTTGTTAAACCTATTTGTAGTTTTTGTCTGGTCCTCGAAGTAATTGTTACCAGAACATGAAGAGGGCACAACCCTAAATATAAATGTTGCCGACGATGTTTAACATAAACAATGTGTTTGTCGTCTTTACTAACTAACTTTACATATTCACGGTCCGTTCCCTTTAACCAGGAAAACTTGGAATTTCAACCGCTTTTGATTAACGTTAAAAAATTACACAACACAAAAAAGGAAATTAGAGGAGGTCCACTGTACTGTGTCTAGACACCGCAGTGCCCATCTCGGTCACAGAGCGGTCTGCGTCCGAAGAGGGTCCTCAGCGGACCTTCACACACGAGACTTTTCGTCACGACGCTCCCCGACCCGTACGAGAAGAGACGCGGTCTCGCAGGTGTCTCAGCACCGAACGAAGTCACGAGGTCGCCGTCCACCTCCTCGCTCCTCGACGACGACGGGAGGTCGTGGAAGGCTACCTCGACAAGACGAGCGACGAGATGTGTACCACTCTAGTGTCCCGACCAACGGGTGTTCACACTAGAGATATGTTGTCTAGATACGTATAGCTTATTATCTAGAAAGAACATTGTATGAATTTCATATTTAGTATGTAATAACCGAGATACCCTAGTGATCAGGAAACAAAACGAATATCTGTTGTAATGTCTTTTATAAACACATGTCATACCATTTACATTAAAGGGCCGGGCGAATAGGTTATGTCTGACTTTGTTAGTTATCTAAATTGTAGGCACAAACCTATGTTCCTGTTCAACTTCGATGTTTAACATGACTTAGAAACAAAAATAAAGATTGTTGTAGTGAGAGTGTTATTTGATACTAAATTTCACCACATCTCTATGGCCCCCAAACCCTCGTCCAACCATGTGTTTAGAAACAATACTTTGACAAGTAGACACCGTAAATGCATTAAGAGAAAAAAAGGAGAAGAACGGCATAATAACGAAACAAGAAGGTCGACAGACTCCGACTTTCTGTCGCCGGACCACATAAGCCGACAGGAGAGGGGGGAAGAGTGTGATGTCGAGACGAGTGGTAGGGAGGTCGAAGACCCTCAGCGGGGTCTTGCCTCGTCGTAGGATGGGCGCTTTAGTAACGGGAACGGTGTAGTCATTTGTAGAACCGACTAAACGGACTACAACACTCGTCGCGAAGGACCGCTCATCACAATACTGTAGGTACCCTCCTCCTACCTCTGTGACAACCTTGCCGATTCCTAATCCGTACCCAATGGCTCGGGGCATAATTTGCCCGGGGCCCCAGACTTAATAATTTCTGGCACCATGGCAATCTCGGAGATTGCCAATAACCAGAAAATTAGCCGTGACCGCTCGGTCAAGAATTTTTTATACAAGTCACATAATAACGATGTGTTTGTAATAATAACGTCAAAAAGTCCACAAGCGGTTTAGGTAAGATTGTGCGTTTTTCTGACCGTTTTACCGAAGATACCTAATAAAAATCATAAAAGCGTAGAGAGGAGGGGGCGGACGAACGGCTCCCCCCGCCCCGTCCGAATGTGTGTGCGTCGAAAAAGGGCGATGTACGTCGTTTGTGTGTGTGCCTCATCTACCGCCTCTCTTGCGCGAGGCTCCAACACCAAGTTGAAAATGGGCAGAGCTAGACCTGTTAACGGAGCAATGGATTTTCACGTTATTCTCAAATCGTACATTTCCCGCAATTGTGCTCGTTAAACCAGATTTGTAAATTCGTTTTCACGAGGTCGTGAGGTCTGCCTGCACCTTACGGTGGCCTGACAGCAAAGACGCATCGAGACCATCGGGGTAGGTGCCTCATTGCCACAAAGGTGCAGTCCACAATAAATACGAACTCGTCGTTGTGTGTCTCAATTGAGTTAATATTTTTGTACCGCCAAATTACTAATCTTCCCATTGAACTCGAATAAATAAAACAATTAAAGTCAATAAGACAAATGTTAAGACAGTAGTCCTAATAAATTATGCAAATAAATTTTTGTGCAACAAAGAAACTACACTTTATAATAAATAAATTAAATTTATTTTTCGTTACAATTAACGTTATAGGAAAAGTTAAAGTTTCGTTGTGTTTAAACCCACATATATGTAACTGTTTATTGAATATTCTTATCCTGCTACAGTGGCAAGTGGAAAAAAAACGAGGGGCTAAGGCTAACGGCCTAGTAAACTAAAACTGTTAAACGGCTATGGCTAAAAAGGGCTTAGGCTAGAAATACGGTTACGTAATTCTCGCTTTTTTCCTTTTTTCAGTAAATTTAACAGGGAATTCCAATAAAAAAAATACACATTTAAACCTATAAGATTAGGTTGTACTGTAATATCGAAGAAAGAAAAGTGTCGGGTCGTAACATAGTCCAAGTCACCACGTCGTAACCTAGTTTTGTTTTATTTCGCAAAGTCAATGAGCAATCGAATGACGGATGTTAAATCTGTGACGGCGGGACGGGTGAGACAACCGGTCTAACTCTCTTTATTCGTTGGTCCAGATACTTTTGTTCGGGGTTTCTTCGTTGTGTATGTACTACAACACATTAACTTTGGTCTTTGATTCCCGGAGTCCTACTGAAATTCTATAACTTGTAACGCAGTAAGAACAAAACCATTGTAAACCTTAATGTTTTAAATTTTTTTTCATAAAATATTTTTTTTTTTNTTAATTAATTACAAAGCCTCTAATTAATTAGATACATTTTTTTAATCGAGTCCCGGCCCTAGTAAAGACATTTGGTCAAATGAGATGACACTGAGCAGGTGATAACAGTAACGCCAGCATGGATGAAGCTGGTGCAGGTCTTTCTTCATGCCCCCCCTCCGTGCTGTCCCCTCAGAGGAAGTGGGAAAACGGGATAAGACTCTGGACGCCACACTGTCTCAATGATCGACAATGTTAATATGAGAGGAAAATAAATGTTATAGGAAATGAAAAATATGAAGTTAACAAATAAAACACAGCTCAGGGGCAGTCATGGACGTTCGATCCAGTTTCGATTCCGTAACCTTGGCACACTGCCACTCCAACATCCAATCCCGACTTGAAGTTTAATCATGGGGACTGTAGTCCTAAACGATAGCTGGGGATTATTGGTAGTGTAGTGTCTTCGGCCATCCTAAACTCGATGATGCTCGAAATGTCCCTTATAGGCCTACGTCTGTTTCCGGTTATTTTTATTTTGAAATTCAGTTCCTGAAGGACGGCAAAAAAGCCCGAGATTATAGAATTAAACAAATAAATAAAAACAAGGATAATTGTGTGTTATTGTTGACTAAATAACAGTGTGTTATTTTGAAAAGAATAACAAATTAGAAGGAAAAATGAGCCCCATTTATTTTCCTCACAGACAGCAACAAAAGTCCGAAATGATACGATTTTAAATAAAAGCAATAATCGTGGCTTGATATTGAGTAAGAACATGTTTTTATGAACCACACAGCTTCCGGTCTTCCTATAACACCTAATGCCGTGAGACTACCAACAGAAATACATTGCTTTTAAAATCGTGCTGTGCAACACGAAAAAAAAAAGGGGAAAGACTACCAATAGAAATACATTGCTTTTAAAATCGTGCTGTGCAACACGAAAAAAAGGGGGAAATCGTGTTGGTGAACACGAATCAATAGATTAAAAATCGTGTTGGTGAACACGAAATGCCGTGAGACTGGGTTGGCCTTACATGAGTCCATGTAGCTAAAGTTAGCTAGCTAGATGTCTCCTAATAATGCTACTTGGTAAGAAGGTATAGGTAGTTAACACTCACCCGGGCAAAAACAAGGCGACATTTGTTTAATGCCTCTTTGGTGCCGAGGTCATTCACCCATCAACCATGACAGGTTGGAAAAAAGATGGCGCCCTGGCAGAAGTAATTGTTTTGCTCTCCCAACACAGACTTCTTTTTGTCTTGTTTATTTGCTTTAAACATCAAGTTGTGTAATGCATTTATAAGATATAGCAGAGGCACACTTATTTGTGTCGGCAAAGCTCACCAGGGCTTGTTTTTAGACCGACTTCAACTTTCTACGACGGTCAGACAGCACCGTTACCGGCCGGCAAAGTGTAACAACTCCGGCCTCAGAAACGTGGAAGGAGAGGGGGGCTCTACTTTGCTGTTGTTTATACATCTCATTTAGTTTTAGTTTGATCATACAGCATATCCTTCACTTTTGTTCTGGGACAGGAATTGTACTCACCTTCTAGAAATCTCTACTTCTTTCTACTTTCTTTCTTTCCTTTTTTTATGTAGATCAGCTAATATTTTCAAATGTTCTTATATGCTAGTTTTTAGCTTGTATGTTTGTTTGTATAGCTCTAAATATTTAGGTGAAGAGAGCTGAATGTAAGAATGTCATTGTACAGTGCACCTGCCTGTTGTAGGACAATAAAATATCTTGAATCTTTTGCACTTATCTGATTGGCTGAGGCAGTGCCTTGTAGGACAACATTGCATTGTGATGCCAATGACCCAGCGTTTTACTGCAGCCCTCTGTGTTGGCAGTATGGGGGGGCTGTATTTTCTCACAGCTGGCCCTCTGATAGCATCTCTATGAGGAAAGGTTGGGTCAGAGTCATTGGAAAGTATCTCATGCTGATGGACAATGCAATGGAGGATAAATAGATGCACTATATTCTCAAAATCAAACGTGTTTTATTAAAAAGGGCACAATAAACTCACTGACATCACAATGTGGGGAACAAAACAAATTGAAAGTTCTACTTTGGCTTTAAAAACACATTTTACCACAATAAAATATAGTCTATACAAAGTCACTATCCGTTCTTCTAATCTGTGGTTTTAACACATTTCTGTTTTATGTTCAGCTGGAATTACTCAGCATTACAATGTGTTCCCACATTTCTGAATATGACTCATGTGTTTTCATATTATAACACTCTCCTCTCCCGGGGTATAAGCAGGACCCCCCTCCCATTATTCTATTCTGCCTGTGTTATGGGGTCACCCAGAGGGGCAGTCAATGTCATCGCCGTGAACCAACGCAACCAATCATGAACCAGCTGCCCCCCTCCTCGTCCGTCTTCTTCATCCAAGCACCACACCCCCCCAGCATCCCCTGTGACAAATTGGATGGCTGAGGGTCTTGGTACCCCAACCCCCATAAGACAGGCCACCCTCCCCCATTATGTCCTGCATAGGGTGATAGCAGGTGTATATGATATGATGGGGGGCCTTTTAGATTTTTAAAGTGCCTCCCCCAGTCTGTGTCAGGCAGGCAACTGAAGAAGAAGGCACATTTGACTGTTAGAAAAGTGTGAGATGTGTGTGTGGGAGGTAGGTATTTTCTGACTGATTGTTTATCAGAATCAGAATGAGTCCCGCAGTGGGAAAAGTGACAGCAGGTAATAAGGGCATAAAATAAAAGAGTAGGCCTACATGTAGTTAACATTTTAAATATAGAGAAAAAGCACACATTCGGAATAAAATAACAATAAAGGCAAATATGTACTCTTCCATGGCTAAAAATGAGTAGCAGCATTTAAATTGCTATATCAACATATTATGAAAAATATTTGCCAAGAAAAGTGTATATTGCACATTACAGGCTTGTTTATATCCCGTTTGGTTCATCATGAAAGAACAACATTAGGTTCATGTAGCATGCTACACATGATCCACATGTCTTATTATCAAGTCAACATAATATTGTGTTGACATCATGGGATCCTGGGAACTGCTTCCTGTCATGCCAATGCAATGTTGCAGTGAGCTAACAAAACTGGCAACAGAGATGAACACATGCACACAAACACACACACATGTACACACCGATGCGAAGAAGAGAGGAAAGATAATTCATGCTCGGCTGTGTGACAGAGTGGGACAGAGGGGGAGAGAAAGTGCGTGTGTGAGTGCGTGGTCGTGTGTGAGAGAGTGAGAGTGAGGGACGTCATCTGCCTGGACCGGACTACCGGACTACAAGCATACGCGCTCAGGCCGGAGGAGGGACAGAGCCGCCACTGTGCAGCCGGACAGTGAGGCACTGTGCTCGGGTAGGAAACCTTTGCTTCCCGGTCTTCTGGATGCCGGAGCACACCGCGGGAAGTGACTCAGTTGTTAGTGAGTGATTGACGGGGGGAACATGGCTTCTTCTCCGGTCCTCCCAGCCTCGATGGAAGGAGGGACACCTTCACCCACCGGGACTGAGGACCCCGCTACAATCCGACAGGTTTGTGCCCCCTTGCTTCCCCAATACACACTAACACATGTGTTATAAAACCAAACCACAATGTCACA